GAGAGGGTTTATTTCTCAGGGTAAGACAACGCGAAGTTTGTCAGGTTGGAAAAATCAGAGGGCATTGGGTTGGGCCTGGTGGATCTCTTGCAGATCAGCAAAATCAGATTGGGGGATTGTGCTTGACAACGGATTGATAATAGGTAATCGGGTGCTTTTCTGAGTTGTCGTGGGTAATCGTGTACATGACCTAGGGGTGGGCGGGTCAGTAAGTAGGTGTGGTCTCGATATAGTTTCTTTGTGAACTGTCCTAATGTAGCACTCACGGAAGATTGTAACAGGCTGATCAGTTGGATTTAGTAACCGGAAGGAGATATTTTCTTGTATGTCTGGGCATACCGCTAGATGGTATCCGCTAGATGGTATCTGTTGAGATACCCGCTAGATGGTATCTGTTGAGAAGTCTTTCCTGGCTCAATTAAAGCAATGACATTATTTGTTATCTGACCAACAGTTGCTGGGATGACAGTTTCGCAATGGGCAGCAATCACGTGGGTTTGACCACAATTTTCATCGGCAAACATGAGCACATTACCAAAAATTTAACGGTATGGGCGCCCATATTGATGATGGCACGGTTTTGTTGCAGAAAGTCGCTGAATTTGGTTGATTGATCCAGGACTTTAGTTGATGGGGAAATGGATGGAATTTCGGATCTATTACGTACATCAGGCATTGGGAATTTAGGGGTGACATTAATATCTCTAGGCAATGTAGAGGGTAGAGGGGGTGGTTGTGTTTGTATGAACTGACTTTGTTGCTTGGGTTAGACATGTGGTGAATAATGTTCATTGAAATTTCCACTCGTTTGCCAAGAAGTGTTTGGGTAAAAGCTGTTGTAATTTGGTGGGGAATATCCAGTTACTTGTGGGGCCCCTTATGTCCCCATATGGAAAGCCCTTGGGAGTTTAAATACCCAGCATAATTCTCAGGGTGTGGTGGTGGTGCCAGGGGTTACTGATGGTTATGACAAGGGGGCTGAGGAGGAGGGACTACCGACTTTGGGGGTGAGCTGGTAAACTGGTCGTACCTGCTTCATTTCAATATCTTGCAACATGCCCAACTCTTTGGCAGGTATTGCAGATTGGCTGCCCGTCTGTTGTTCGAAGGTTTCTTCCTCTGCTGTCTCGCCGGGGATATCTTTTACCTACGCTGAATTCGTGTCCGTGTGTTGGGGCATTTTGTGGAGTGTCTTTCCTGATAATCTGATTTCGCCCCGAACTGCTGCTATGATTTCCCTTTTCATGGCGTCGATATCCTGGGTAGAGGGAGCCTTAACAGCGGGATAATTGGTTGAATTAAAATAGGTGCTACTGCGGATGTTAGTGGTCGATCAATAGTGGACATTAGAGTTGCACTTGGCTCTCGAGCTGTGCTAGACGTTGTCGTTCTGTGAGGTTATCATTAGAGATTGTTTCTACTTGTTTCTCCGAAGCTTTCTTCTCACTTAGGAGATCATGTATCTGATTTATTACATTATTTGGAGCAGGTGACTCTGTTTTGCCACATTTAGTACTTCTGCTGACAATAGGGAGCTTTAGCGCTGACTACGAGTACGAGATTCGTCATTCTCGCGCGTTGTTTGCTTACGCCATCGGTCAAAACTCGTAGTCGCTGAGCTTTTGAGTACGAGTTTTTTGATAAATTTCGTACTCGAAAGCCCAACGACTACGAGTTTTGGCTGATGGCGTAAGCAAACAACGCGCGAGAATGACGAATCTCGTACTCGTAGTCGTACTCGTAGTCACTGCTAAAGCTGTCTAGATCTTTCAGGCGCGTTAAGGATTCTGCTTCCTTGAATGTTGTTGGGCGGTTCAAAATGACATGCGATTTTAACTGGTCGTTTAGTCCTGATATGAAACAGTTTATTCTGTTTGTGTCATTAAGTCGGCTGCATCTACGAATAATGTCCTCTGTGCAACAGTTAAGGCCTTCGCCCTTACCTTGCTTTCGGTCATTTAATTGTTGTCTCCGAAGGAACTCTTCGTTTGGTGAAGCAAATCGCTGTCAAAGGGCCGTTATTAAATTAACACAATTGTTCCTTGTCTCGTCTGGTATCGTATGTAGCCATGCCAACGCTGGTCCTTCAAACAGTAGCATTAATGCAGACAGTTTCTTGGCGATTGTCCAATTGTGAAACTTGCTGTATCGTTCAAATGTATCGATAAAGTCGGTGCTATCCTCGTACGAAAGCCCACTGAAAGATTTTGGGCGAAAAGATTACGATGACGATTGTCCTTCAATGGCAGCTTGCATGGCTGCCATTTGTGTTCGGAGTGATTCGACCGTTTCTTCGACGTGTCCGGCCTCGCGAATGTCAACTATGGCGTCCCTTTGCATAGTTCTTTTGACGTATTTGATAATATTCCGTAAGTCTTACACCAATGTTCACAAACGGCGAATCGAGCCGCCAAAAAGTCTGATTCCCTGTGCTTTGTATTTGTAAACAATACGTTTCTTGTCGGAGTCACCAATGTTATGCTCGTATAAATACTTTATTCGTCAATACTTCGATCATACACAAACTCGTTGTCTTTGCACATCTCTTCTTCGTTATCTCCAAAAAAGACCCCTTCTTCTCGTACTTTTCCCAAAACTATTCGTCTTCGTCATTGCTCAAAATAGAATGTTCACGTGTTCGGCGCATGCAATAGTTACTGTTACAACTATCTCGTAACACGAACGTACTCTATGGATCAGATTTAAATACACAACCACATACACAAAACGAGTTCATATGAGAAACGGCGTATTTTATTTGTCTTTTTCGTATTTTCAGCGTCTTCTGAATTTTCAGTAAGTTGAGAGATGTTGATAAGTTGCGACCACGGTTGCGAGAAGCATTTTGACGGATGGTGTTTACTCAAAGCATGAAGAGTCCAATGCAGTAAACTCTAATAAGACTGGAACGATAACTCAGCAATAAAGACTGGTCATTGGATGAAGCCGATTTGAATATAATTTGCTGATTAAGGCGGGAGCCGCGCGAGCAAATCAAGTCTTCAAAAGAACTAGGGAGAGTGAGAATTCCGTAAAAATCGTATTTTTTGGCAAAAAATTGCCAGAAAAGTGCAATTTTCATTTGACCACTTCAACTTTAAACAACGAATTTACCCTTTTTGGATAGACCTAAGTAATCCGCATCATCTTACTGTAAAAACCGGCGATGTACCAGCTTTGTACTTGAAATATTTAAAGAATTTGAACGGGCCGAAAAAAAACCTCGCCTTCAACTCGCAAAAAAAATAGGTTTGCACCTGTTCACGTTCATAATACTTGTTTTTTAGTAAAGTCTAAGTGTCAATGCTTGTTTTAAGCTTTTATTCATGAACAGATGAGATGGATTTGTGTTTATATAATAACGTAAATAATTCAAGCAATTTCATTGGTCGAGAGCCATGATCTATAAGAGGACAGACGCACGGAATGACGTCACAGCAATTTTCTTTTTACCGGTTTAATTTTGGATTTTTTTCAGTTTTATTATATAAAACAAATAGATTACAATGAACCGTTGTCTGTTCAGTTATAGATACACGGTATGACGCCATATGTGATAAGAACAAAAGAGTGACCACTCGCCCCGGCGGCTCGTGGCCACTTTTTTTGTTCTTATCACATATGACGTCATACCGTGTATCTATAGGGACCTTAAGCATGTAGGACGGCAACATGACGACGACGTGGTTGGAATACTCCTTTAAATTAATGTTATGATAAAGCGTTGTTGTATATTATTAACAGTACCAGTTTAATGAGATAAAAGACGTTGAAAACATTGTGTTTATGTTTAGGGACAATTCTATAGAGCTAATTCGAGATAGCGCTCACTGGGTCCTGAAATGCAGACGTTCTACATAGGACGTAAGAAACGACGTTTTGCCGTTGTAAACAAAACGTAGACCACGTCTAAAACTCCCATAGGTATTTAATAATTCATTTCTTTTCAATGAAGCATTGTATTGATAGCTGCCGTCGTCGTGTTCCCGTCCTACATGCTTAAGGTCCCTAATAACTGAACAGACAACGGTTCATTGTAATCTATTTGTTAAATAAAAACCGGCGTTGTTTTGGTGGTGTAATTTCAACTCTTGGCCTTCATGGCGGCCATCGGTGCTGGCTTCAAAGATGGCGGCCAAGTTATCGTTCCAGTCTTTTTAGAGTTCACTGGTGCAATGAAACAAAATGTATTCCATTGCACTCTTAGGAAATCGGACTTTCTATTCAATATCACGTGATCGTCATCAACCAATTAAACGATCGAAATTTAACACGGTATTATATAATTGTTAAATATTATTATATACACAAGCGCTGATTATGAGCTAATGGGCAATCTGATTGTCTATCTACTAGACAGATATAAGCTCATATCTGTGTAGTAGAGAAACGTAAACAAAATGGCGGCAAGATTTGGGGAGTTAAACAACGATGAAATTCAAGTTTTCCTTGATAAACCAAAGTGCACCGAAAGGGCGATAAACTTTAAAACAAAAGTATTCAACGGTAGGTTGAAAACTATAGGTTTACAAAATATACGGTTTTGTTTCTGTTTGTCTGTATTTAAAACGTTCGAAAAAAACACGATACGGCATTTAATTATTTAATTTAAAAAAAAGTGTATTCACTAATGTTCAAATCACGAATAAATTTGAAATTTGGTTTGATCCAGCGCTTGTGTATATAAAACAATTCTGCTCACTCCTGTCGTATATGACTAATAGCTAACTCGGCGCATATTATACGACTCGAGTTTGCAGAATATATGTTAATTATACTATGCTGCCACGACTAAACATGAACGTCGCACGAGTTTCGTCTTCCTCGCTATAACAACATAATTACGGTCCAGGACGTCCATTGCCCATATAAATCAGGCATATTGCCTATGTAAAGTATAGGGTCAGAGGTATAGGTTCAATGAGAAACTTTAGGTCAGGGCTATAGGTTCAAAGAGAAACTTAATAGAAATACTTGTAGTCTTGTACATTGTTTTTTAGAGATTTGATAAAGAAGTTACTGGTCCACGATAGGACGAGACGATTAGGTTGTTTAAAGGTACCAATTACTAAATTTATTTTAACTCAACAAGGGTAAAAAACGTTAACCAATCAGATCGTTTGTTTACATTTTGTACGCGGTAAACATATCAGAGGGTTTAAAATTAGTAACATGTAAACAAAAGAGTGAAAAAAAAACAAAAAAAGAAGCGCAAAAAAAAGACAAGTTATGATAAAACGAGCTTTTCTCTTGAATTCTGTCGTGGGAATTTTGCAGATTCGGCCTACAACGTGAAATATTTATGTTCGAATAGTTATGCTACTACATGTGTAGACACGTAATATGACAAGGACCAAGGTATTTCATTACTCTCTTTACTATAAATACACCACCGTTTCAAAAATCTTGTGGTTTTAACTGTTTTTATGATACTCGGACTGTGCTTGCTTCGACTGTGTTGCGTTGTGAATACTGTATGTTTTGCCTTTTGTGGATATATAATGTCTTCCTTATTTTTTAATTATACTTTTATTAACTTAAATGCCATATTGGCATAATGTAGCAGCATACCCTAACATTTAAGGGTGGTCTTATACAAAAAAATCACGATTTATTCTGTTGGATGGAACTTAATGTCTCCCTAATCGATCCTGGATATTTTTCCTCAAAAATATATATGTAAAGAACGCGAGATTTAAATGAAAAGTTTTATTAATTAGGGTTTTACCCTGAGCAAACAAAGGGGGTCCATTGACTTATTCTATTGTTTCATTGTTCTATTGTATTGTTCTCTATAATTTATTAATTAGGCAGATTTAGCTCGAGGACGCGAACTTCAAAGAGGACGTGAGAATGGCGAATGAATGGCGTGATACGCCTATACAGGGTGTATCAAAAAAAAGGAGACCTTTAGAAATCAAGCTATTGTTAAAATTTGAATGCCTTTTCAATTGCATTTGCACAAATGCTGAACCGTAGTGCGTTAAATATTGATGGCATGCATGCATACATTAGAAAATGAATTGACGTTTGTACATAAGATTGTCTGCTCCTGGGAATTTGAAAATAACTTTAATAGCATAAGGAAAAATAACGACCCAAAAATATTCAAATGACCAAGCACACTACCAGAACAAAAATGGTTCAACTGACTTCGGAGCAAAGAGTTTTTGTAGTCTTAACTTATACCTAGCCTGCCGTCATCAGAAAAGCAGTTCGCGATATGCACATGCAAGCGTACGGTAGTTTGTGTTGAGAGAAATGGAGGCCACGTTGGAGGTCATGGTCCATGACATTTAGTTCTTTTGATGTTCAATTTATCAGTAATTTTCAATCCGGATCGAAATGTCAAGTGAATCTGTGTCAGATCAAGTTGTAATTCATTCCTGACTCATGTACACATTTTAATAGGCAGAGTTTGTAAAATGGGATGCTGAGCCATTCCGGATTCAAAGTCAATTCTAACTCATGTGAACAGCCCTAATACTCGCACGCAGTGTTAAAAATTAATGAACAAATGATTTGTTCATGTTTTGAAGGAACAGCTAAAGCAATCTACCACGCATACTGTTATCGCTTTTGTGCTTAGTCGTTTGTGCTTAGTCATTTGAATATTTTTGGGTCGTTATTTTTCCTTATGCTATTAAAGTTATTTTCAAATTCCCAGGAGCAGACAATCTTGTGTACAAACGTCAATTCATTTTCTAAAGGTCTTCTTTTCTAATGTATGCATGCATGCCATCAATATTTCACGCACTACGGTTTAGCATATGTGCAAATGCAATTGAAAAAGCATTCAAATTTTAACAATAGCTTGATTTTTAAAGGTCTCCTTTTTTTTTGATACACCCTGTATATGGACATGCCACGCCATTTATTCGCCATTTTTACTTCCTCTTCGACGTTCGCGTCCTCAAGCTAAATATATGCAAAACGTTTTCCGTTGCTTTTCTTAGCAAACTAAAATTCTCATTCCTCTTATTGTGTGAAAAGATTACTCAAAAAGTAATAAAGCTAACTTGATAAAATAATCATGGTAGACTTAAAGACAATTGGGTCGGACATGAACCTAAAAGTGTTGTATTTCGTTCAGTCAAGTAAAACAAGACGCCTGTTCTGGCGTTAACTCCGGCGTGCCGTGCACCTGCCAGTCTTTAATATAAAGCTTCTGAACATAAACAATACAGTTCATACTCATTTAGATGCCTTGCCAACCTATATGTTATTCGATCGCGAAATTCAGAAGCACATCGTACTTTAAAAAGTACAGAAGTTCAATTGTTCAAAATTGTAAATAAACCGCATGATACGTTCACTTTGTCTTACACTTTGCCTTTGGAATTCGCGCTTATATAGTTATATTAAATATTAAATCAGTTCTCCAACCAAAAAACTTGAAGAAACAGCTAACACAAGCCCAGTTCGTTTCCGAGAGAACTCCCAGCAGTGTGACAAAATGCGGAGAAACAAGATGCGGTACCTGTGCAATCATAGTGACCGGAATTGATATCAAACTGAAGAACGGCAAAGCGTGGAATATAAAATGTCAGATGAATTGTAAATCGCGGAACGTTATATACGTTCTACTCTGCACAAAATGCAAAAGTTTTTATGTCGGCCAAACTGAAAATCTCCGTCACAGAGTTACGCTACACAGACAGCAAATAAACCATGAAGAATAATGCCACTTAGCAGTAAGTGAGCACATCAGAAAATGTAGCAATGACAACTTCCAGATTATGCCGATTTATCAATGTGACAGTCATTCAGACCGCTTAGTCAGGGAGTCAAAGGAAAGAGACATTATAACTATACTTCAGCCGGATTTAAATTCATGTTAATAATAATACCATGCAGTTTATGTTAGATTTTGTTATATATTTTCATATCTTTGTTTGTGTGAAATATTTATGTAAATAATTACCATTAAGTAATCCAACACCACACGTGTAGTGACGTAGTGGCAAACCAGTGAAATATGTAAATATAGGATATCACAGCTTATTTCTTACAAAGTATTCAGCACCTGAGGAGCTTTCAATAAAGCGAAAACGTTTGTGCAAAATGATTAGATTTAGTGTTGTTTGATATCCTTTGTTTGATCTTCATTGCTTCCAAGACGAATATATATATATATTAATATATATATATATATATATATATATATATATATATATATTAATTTAAAAATACTAAAGTTGCAGCCAGGAGTAGTCATATTTATAAGATAAAAGGGGTTGACACTGGCTATAAAAACGTAAAACAACGTTTATTTACTAGTTAAAAGACGTTTCGGTCAAAAATCTAAGACCTTCGTCGGTTAAAATGGTGTTGAAAATATACTAGTTATATACAAGTTGATATGTTATTTGAATTGCTAATTTAGAGTAACATAAATGCCAGGTAATTCGATGTGATCATTACCGGCATTGGTGGCCCTTTGGGAATGCCATGCTTCAAGGAACAAACGGTGTCGATAATTGTTTGCTTTGTCTATAATCTTGGGGTTTTTTAAATCTATACTGTGTTTGTGTAAAGTTGCGTGTTGGGCTAATTTAGAATTCTTATCCTGGTTAATGATGGCTCGTTGATGTTCTTTGAGCCGGGTCCGGAGTGCACGTTCGGTCTGTCCAATGTACACAAATTCACAATTCTGACAGTTGATTTGGTATATCACTTCCCTGGACTGCATAATATTTGGTTTGTCTTTGGGTTTTGAAAAGCAGTTGTTCAAGGTCCTAATGGGTTTATAGCCAACTTTGAGATTTTCGCGTCTAAGTACTCTGGCAATGCGTTCTGAAACTCCTTGGATGTAGGGTAATACAACTAGGCCTGCAGAATCATTCTCATTGTTGGTTCTATCTTTTGAACATTTACGCATAGTATCACAATTTTTGAATGAATTTGGTGGAATATCCATTACTTTGTGAGTACTTTCAGCATGACGTGTTTTTCTTTCTTTGCGTTTGCCATTTCTTGTAGACGGAATGTGTCTGCACGGTCTAATAAAGTGTTGACAACGGAACGTTTGTGGGTGGCTGGGTGGTGGGAATTGAAATCTAGGTACTTGTCTGTGTGGGTTGTTTTCCGGTAAACCTTGATTTGTATGTGTCCATCTTTGCGGTATGTGATGGTATCTAGGAAAGCAAGTTTGTTGTCTTGCTCCATCTCAATTGTGAACTGTATGTGTGGGTTGATTGAATTCAAGTGGTCGTGGAATTCTTGTACATGGTCTTTATGTAGGCCTGTGTGGCTATCGTCTACAAAGCGAAACCACCATATAGGAGGGTGCGCTGCTGATGTAATGGCCTGATCTTCAATGTGTTCCATGATTATATTCGCCACGGTGGCACTAATGGGGGAGCCCATGGCACAACCGAATATTTGTTGATAATACGTGTTTTCATACGTGAAATAGCTGTTTGTGAGGACAAATTTGAGTAATCTTAAGATGATTGTTCGGGAGATGTCTGTCCGATCATGGAGAACAAACTTGCTTTCCTAGATACCATCACATACCGCAAAGATGGACACATACAAATCAAGGTTTACCGGAAAACAACCCACACAGACAAGTACCTAGATTTCAATTCCCACCACCCAGCCACCCACAAACGTTCCGTTGTCAACACTTTATTAGACCGTGCAGACAACATTCCGTCTACAAGAAATGGCAAACGCAAAGAAAGAAAACACGTCATGAAAGTACTACAAAGTAATGGATATTCCACCAAATTCATCAAAAATTGTGATACTATGCGTAAATGTTCAAAAGATAGAACCAACAATGAGAATGATTCTGCAGGCCTAGTTGTATTACCCTACATCCAAGGAGTTTCAGAACGCATTGCCAGAGTACTTAGACGCGAAAATCTCAAAGTTGGCTATAAACCCATTAGGACCTTGAACAACTGCTTTCCAAAACCCAAAGACAAACCAAATATTATGCAGTCCAGGGAAGTGATATACCAAATCAACTGTCAGAAATTGTGAATTTGTGTACATTGGACAGACCGAACGTGCACTCCGGACCCGGCTCAAAGAACATCAACGAGCCATCATTAAACAGGATAAGAATTCTAAATTAGCCCAACCGCAACTTTACAAACACAGTATAAGATTTAAAAACCCAAGGTTAAGACAAAGCAAACAATTATCGACAACGTGTTGTTCCTTGAAGCATGGCATTCCCAAAGGGCCACCAATGCCGGTAATGATCACATCGAATTACCTGGCATTTATGTTACTCTAAATTAGCAATTCAAATAACATATCAACTTGTATATAACTAGTATATTTTCAACACCATTTTAACCGACGAAGGTCTTAGATTTTTGACCGAAACGTCTTTTAACTTGTAAATAAACGTTGTTTTACGTTTTTATAGCCAGTGTCAACCCCTTTTATCTTATAAATATATATATATATATATATATATATATATATATATATATTAATATATATATATATATATATATATAAATGTTTAATCTAAAAATATTGTCATCGCTACACGGTGTTTCACGCTCAATAAGGCGATCATCAGGCGAATGGATACATTGATCTTCATTGCTTCCAAGACGAATATATATATATATATATATATATATATATATATATATATATATATATATATATATATATATATATATATATATATATAAATGTTTAATCTAAAAATATTGTCATCGCTACACGGTGTTTCACGCTCAAGGCGATCATCAGGCGAATGGATACATTCAACCGCAGTAACCACAACGTCAAATTGCATTACACAACCAACACCGCCAGACGCAAAACTCCAACCATCAGTAACAACCGAAAACGAAAAGTCATTTGGTTCAATCCTCCCTTTAGCAAAAACGTACAGTCAAACGTGGCCCGTGATTTCCTGAAATTGATCGACAAACATTTCCCTCAAACATCGCGGCTCCACAAAATCTATAATCGAAACACAGTAAAGGTCAGCTACTCCTGCATGAACAACATCAAAAATGCTATCTCAAGCCACAACCATCGTGTGTTAGAAAAACGAAACGATGAGCCCAAAGAGAATCACTGCAACTGTCGTAGAAAAGATGAGTGCCCGCTAGCTGGAAAATGTCTGACCAAGAGCCTCGTTTACAAAGCCGAAATAACATCAACGGAAGACGGAAAGACGAAGGAATATATTGGAATGACAGCAGGAGACTTCAAGAAACGTTTTGCCAACCATAAGAAGTCTCTGAACAATATCAAATATTCGACGGAAACAGAGCTCTCGAAGTATGCGTGGAAATTGAAACAAAGCGAAAGAGAATTCACAATCAAGTGGTCCCTTCTAAAGCATGTCCCTATGTTTAGACCTAGTGGGAGAAGCTGCAACCTTTGCCTGGAAGTAAAGCTGTTTATTTTGAAAGCAGACAAAGACAGAGTGCTGAATAAGCGCTCGGAGTTGTTTTCTAAGTGTAGACACCGCTTTAAATACAGTGCGCACAAATTCAAACCTTAGGCGCACGCCCTAGTATGCAATCCTTACGCGTCAAAAACCGTTAAATGTATCCATTCGCCTGATAATTGCCTTGAGAGTGAAACACCGTGTAGCGATGACAATATTTTTAGATTAAACATTTATTCATTTGCTCTATTTATTGATATTGAGCACTCTTTGTTCAAGTACGGACAATATTATATATATATATATATATATATATATATATATATATATATATATATCTATATATCTATATATATATATATATATATATTATAATATATAATATTATATATATATATATATATATATAATATATATATATATATATATATATATTATATATATATATATAATATTATAGAACGATGCTCTACCGTCTGAGCTGCAAGGCCAAGTTGGGAACGACTGTGATTTTTACTGAAGTTGTTAATGACGATTAGCGTTCTGCAACTGACTTCTAAATACCGTTGAGCAGAATAAAGATTTTCTTGATCGTTTGATTGTATGAGAGGAAGCTGTTTTCAGTCTAAATTCTGAAGTCAAAACAAGAAACGTGAGAAACTACGCGGAACATAGCCAACGGTCATCCACCAGATCTTAATGTCGAATTTTTGCAGGGAGCAAATCAAATAATGGTATGGGTTGGCTTGACTAGAAGAGACATAGTATTGGTCCCCATTTGGCGGAAACCTCGACACAAGAGAGTGTTTAAGAATTATCCGCTATAACGTGATACAAAGAGATTTTCACGTCCACAATATTGACAGAAATGTCAATGATGGCAACAAGGAGGGGCTCGATCTCACGCCAGCAATGCGACAATACGCTATCTTCGTGGGCAATTTCCAGGTCTACTCGTAGGTAAACGCGGCGATTGGTCCTGGCCTCTACGCTCTCCTGACTTGACAGTGTGTGATTTCTTTCTTTGGTGATATTTAAAACATGAAATTTGGAACGCAACTATTCAGCAACAGCCAAGGAATTTGAGAGCTTCGAGAAGCGGTTGTTATGGCGTACAACAACTTGGAGCAGGAATTGATCCACAATGCGTTCGACTGCATGATTTCCCACGCAAGATGTTGTGTCCGTGTTGCTGGATATTCATTTCCTGATGAGTCAGGATTTGCCTGGCGAAGCTAACAATATTTGTTCTTACTTTTGCGTGTTGTTTTCGTTCTATTTCAAAACATTTTTTGCTTCTTCCAGAAACGCTACCTTGAGTTTAAACGCCTATATCTTGGCTAATATTGTGTATAAATGTACAAGGTTTGGCTAATATTGTATGGAAATGGAAATGTACAACAGATTTTATTACTTTAAGCACAATTTCGAAAAAGACGACGACGAGAACGAAGAAAAAGCGCTGTGAGCGTAGTTGCATGACTATTCAAATATATATAAATACTGTTGCCAGAGTCGTGCCGGGCGGGAAGCGTATTCGAAATATATAATATATTTGATAGTAACGTTTCGTCTTAACTTAAGACATCTTCAGACTAAATGATAAATTACATGATTCAAATTATTATGAACTTATTTAGAACGTGATGTTATTTTCTCATTCCTTCTGTTTACAGGTTTCGAATTTTATGCTCTCGGATTGGTCTAGCGGGCAAAATGTAGACAAACGATCTGATTGGTTAACGTTTTTACCCTTGTTTTTTAACGTAACTTGTTCGAGTTTTTTGGCCATTTAATAATAGCTTATTTTGTTTAGAATGGTGCAGAAGATGTTAAAGCGCATAAGTGGTTTCGGGGAATAGATTGGGAAGTAGTTATTCAAAGAAAATTAAAGGTAATTTTTTTATTAAAGGTAGCTATATGTAATAATGTGATGTTGCTCATACAATTTGAGATTTAAACAGTATCAGCGTTCCGGCTTTTTAAGTTCCTTCTAAATAATAACTGACAAAAGTTCCGAACGTCTGACATAATGGCGTACAACTTCAGTTTCGTATTTTCATTTCCGGGTATAATTAAAATCTTCGGGCGGAACTTGTGCCCTCTCTACGACAGTGCGGGGCTGAAATTTCACTTTTCTAAATAATAGCGACAAAAATTGGCCAACGTTATCATATCGACACATATTTTACAGCTATTCTTCATATTGTTTGTTGCAAATTCGATCATTTTTTTAGCTTAAGCTGGAAATTTCCGGTCTTCCATTCCGACGTCACTTCGGGTTTTCGCTGACATGATTTAACGCCGATTACCTGGAAACTACTTGCACGTGGTCCATGCATGCGGGTTGGTCTTTTTGCGCGGGTCGCGGGTCATTAAAACTTGCGCGGGTCCAACAAAACTGGCGCGGGTGATTGTTCCGGTTGGCGCGGGTGTGTTTAGTATCCAGCATGTATCCAGTATAAACAAACACTCGCTTGTTCTCGCTCGCGGGCTGCCGCTGTATTTTATGAGGAATTTATGAGGAAAATTAAATTCGTTTGACTTCGATTCCTGGGATATTTCTGAGTTTAAGTGGACCGCGAGTTTTAGACAGAGAACGAACGCCACCAGCAATAATACACGCGTAGTCAGTGACAGGGTATCAGGGGTCAACACGAAAATACATATTCAGCATGAGGGGTCAGCATCAGGGGTCAAGATGAAAATACATATTCATTGCGCAAACTAATTATTTCCACACGTTATAAATCCCGCTCAGTGGCGTAACTAGAACGATAATTTAGGGGGGGGGGGTGAATATTCATATATCCAGTTCTGCCCTACGGATTTCTTCCGTAATTTCTTCTGCACTACTATCCCCCCGCACAATTATCGCTCTGGTTACGTGATCAGGGGGATCACGCTCTTATACAAAATGCAAGCAACGAAAAGCTCTAACCATAATAGGATTATGCATTTTTCGAGCTCCCGATTAATCGATCAATCGAATATTTTTTTAAGATTAATTTTGCCTTTATACAGGAGTTTTTGCAATATCATATCGGATTGTTTAGTTTTTGGATTGTCGGATTATATGATTTTAAATTATATACAAAACCGCACATTGTTACGGGAAAGTTTAAAATTGTTACAAATTAGCGACTATGAACACCAAATATGGTTCACGCAGATTTAAAATATTCATACTGACTAGTATAACCTGCAAATATTTAAAAAAACATAGCAATAAGCCCAATTATGTCCTATTGTGATTAACTATAGACACGATTATGCAATTACGTTATTATACCGATGAGACCAGTCCCATTTATTTTTTGTTTCGTTCAGCCGCCAATCGTTCCAAGAATGCGGCACGCCGGTGATACCAAAAATTTTGACGACTACCCTGATGAAGACTGGCAAAGTGCGTTACCAGTCAGTGCAAAACAGCTCGAGCCATTTAAGGACTTCTAAGTTATCTACCAGGAAGTAAGGTATGAATTGATATCCTGTAATAGCTTCGAATAGCTAGAGTCTTGTGGGAGGCAGGCTGCAGGTCTTAACAGTCGGAAGTTGCCTTTGTTGCCAAGCGCGCATGCTCTTAAGGAAGCGTAATACAGCTCTCGTTTTGGTAGTCGACGATGCAAAATTTTTTTCCGTGGACAGTCGGGCACATCTTTCATCCGCGCCCAGGCTTTCACGCATTAGAAATAGATCTCTTCGTACCCTGTTTTAATTTTTAGTTAAAGTTTAGTTCAAATTTTAGTTCAAATTTTGATCTTCTAAAACGCTTTGAAGGCAAAAAGACGTTAGATGTACGCTATTTTTTTAATAATAACGATGAATTTATAGTTGCAAAACATATCCTAACAGCAACGCTTCGATAAAATGCGCGATATCCCGAAAACTCGCTTGATTTAGAAGCTGTAATCGAAGTCTCTTCTCCAGCCATTTTGAATTTCCCACGTTTTGACTTTTGAAAATTATCATTGCGCGCGCAAGGCACACCACTGCAACTTGTGTGGCATGCAAAGAGGACTAGTGAACAGTGTCCGCTGAATGCTTAATGCCGGGCGCGAATCAGAGATGTGCTCGACCATCAAAGATGTTCCTGAGTGTCTACGGAGAGAAAATTTGCGTCGACGATCGTAAAGCTTAAATTAAAAATAATAAGCGATTATATGTCCATGTTGATTTCCACAGATGAACATTCACAAAAATGCAGTTGTTAGGCGTGTAAATAAGTCCAACAGCAGAACAACAACAACATGAAAAGCTATATTTAATAATCATTGCCTAATCTCCCCCAAGTCCCACCCCTCAGGAGGCCATCGGCCACTCCCGACTATGATGCATAACATCTCCCCTCCTTTACACGAGATACAACTTATAAAATTATTAGTTTTATAGAGAAAAATTATCAGACTGTTTCAGTCTCTGTCCTGACAAACAATATTGTAAACAACAATAACTCCCTAATAAAGTTCATAGTCTTTAAATCTGCTGGGTGGTCGCACGTTTCTTCCTGCACGGGTAGTATAAGGCGGAATTTGAACAGTAGGTTGTTGGAGCTTTTCGGCTTTGGTAGTAATTTCTCCTTGATCAGGTCGTGAAGACGTGGTAGGTGGTAAACCATGTTCCGAGTATGATGTGGTAGACGGTGGATCTTCAGTTGAGCCAGGAGGGGAGTGACTAGTGTATGGTTGCAGTGGGTGTGTTTCACGAAGATGGGTTGGTGCTGCTGCTGGTCGAATCTGGGTACGATTTCGGCGAATAGTACAGCCGCCTATATCTATGTTGTAAGACCGTGGAGAAGATGAATTGACAATTTTGCCATACATCCATGGTTGTCCACGCCGAGTTGGTCTTGGTTTTGCATATGCATACGACCCCATGGGTAATGAAGGCAGGGAAAGCTGTACAGTTTTGTCATAAGAGGCCTTAGATGCTATTCGGTGGTTGACAATCTCTTGGGTCACAGTTTGGGGATCGGGTGTAACTGGTAAAAGATGTTCTCTACGTAGTGGTAGACTAGAACGTGTACGTCTTCCCATTAGACGTTGCGCTGGAGAAAACGAATAACCCCATGGAGGAGTGTTGCGTATGTTGAGGAGGGCGAGGTGGTAATCCCCTGATTTCTTTAGAACAGATTTAGCATCCTTGACCGCAGCCTCCGCTTTTCCATTGCTTCGTGACCAATAAGGTGAAGAGGTTATATGCGCAAACCCATACGATTGGCGAAAACCCGGTATTCATTTGACACAAACTGTGGACCGTTGTCTGTAAGACAACGTAGCGGAATGCCATGTCGAGCAAAATGGACTTTCGTGTGCTGAATCACTGTCATAGATAGAGTATCCTTGAGTTGGTCCAACTCATAAAAGTCACTATAGTGATCAACTGTGACTAGGTAATAGTTCCGGTTGAGCTCAAATTGATCTTGGGACACACATTGCCATGGACACGTTGGTACTGGATGAGATAACATAGGTTCTGCTGTGGCTTGCTTCCCATATTTGGCACAAGTGATGCATGTGGAGCAGGTATATTCTATGTCTTTTGCCATTCCGGGCCAGAAAACAGACTCACGCGCGAAACGAAGGCAATGTTCTGGACCTCTATGGGATTGGTGAATCTTAACTAATGTCTCATTTCTCAATGATACTGGAACGACGATGCGAGTGGACTTGAGTATGAGGCCATCAGCGACGGTGAGCTCCTCTCTAAAATTCCAAAAAGATTGTTTAGGTAACTGCTGTTTTGTTGGAGGCCAACCATGAACAATATGGTGCCCTAGGGTCTGCATATTTGAACACGCCGCCGTCGCTCTGCGCATTTTGTCGCGAGTCGTGTCCCTTACTGAAGTGGAAACTGGATCAACCTGACTGACATGCGCACGAAAAACTTGGAAAATGTCTGAACTCTTGGTTTCTCTCTACAGGGTGCTCTAGAGAGGGTGTCTGCCAAGTAGAGAGAAGTGCCTTTTCGGTAAGTGACGGTGAAGTTGTAACGCTGTAGGAAAAGCATCATTTTCTGAAGACGATTTGGAGCTGAGGCAAGATCGGTCTGTAAAGGCTGGTGGTCAGTATGCACTGTGACATTAGCTTTTCCCAGAAGCCACTGGTCAAACTTGTTGAAGGCCTCAACGATAGCGAGGCATTCCTTTTCTATTTGAGCATAGCGCTGCTCAGTTGCGGTCAGGCTTTTGGAACTATAAGCCACCGGTTGAAGAGACTTCTCATCAAAAGTGATATCCCCCTCTTCCTGGGAAGGCTGTAGAAGGGCTGCCCCAAGGCCGTAGTCCGACGCATCCACCTGAAGTATACCACAGGTGCGTTAACATCATAGTATTTGAGGCAAGGTGCTGACGTGGCTAGTGACTTGGCTCCATCAAACGCTTTCTGGTGCTGGTTTGACCACACAAATGGCACATCGTCCTAGTGAGGGCGATGGTTGTGTGATACTGCTCAGTTGGGGACAGAATTTGCTCAGGTAGTTGATGGATCCCAACAACCGGCGGACTCCCTGCTTGTCATTGGGCGTCGGTAAATTTGTTACTGAATCGACTGTTGTTGGATCTGGTTGAAGGCCATCTGGAGTAATTAGATGAGCCATAAAGGTGGCAACCGTCGTCGTGAATTTCATCTTGGCCGCATTGATCTTCACATGATTTTGCTCAAGGCGTTCAAGTACTGCGATAAGATTACGATCATGATCAACCCTGGACTCCTTGTTAAGGGTCTGCGAAGGATCTAGACAGATGCGGATCTTGCTTGGTTTTGTCTGTGTTGCAATTCTTTCTCGGACAACCATATTAGATATCCACTCCATTGGCTGTGATACTCTTACTAGTTGCCCTGTAGTTTCATAAGAATCTAATGCTGCTTTGATTTTATCAAGCTTGGAAACTGGCTGACGATGGATAGGAGCATGGGTGGGTTTAACATTTGGATCAAGATCAAAGTCAACTGGAGGACCCAGGTGTCCTATACCATTAAATAAAGAGGGACATTCTTGAGTAATGAAGTCCATGGTTAAAGTACCAAGAGGTGGCCAAACTCTTTTAGATGTGTCTGGTGGAGCTGGCGGTGGCCCAATAGCTGAGGTAGTAATATCTTGCTTGAAAATGTCAGGTGGAAGTTGCTTGGCCGAAGTTTCATTTGCAGCACCCAAGGTACATCTGCAAACAAAATCGGCATCTAGGGATAGTGCCCCCAATTTCGTACTTGCATCAACACTCAATAGTGCTGGTTGTGCAGTGTTTATGACTTGAAAGCTGAGGGTTTCAACATAGGATGATCTGGTAGCCTTGAGCTTGAAATAAAAAAAATAGAAAAAAATAAAAACAAAACCTCGGCAAATTTTTAACTCTGTCGCTCATGCCAGAGTAATTATACGTTACTTTTGATGAGAATTTACCTTAGACAAGGATGATCTGCAATTTTTTGCTTAATACTATTTGTTTTACAAAAATTTGCTCATCATTTAGCCAACTCGAACAGTAATATGTGGGAGAAATATTTAGAATTATCGCCAATATAAAAGGCGTATTTTACAGAAAGACCATGCATGCAGTGTAGATTGAGAACAACTTAGAAGGTTTTAAACTTTTACGTGCGTGCCGTACGTGCGAGTGTAAAATCAAAGTTTAAAATCACATAAATTATATCATAAAATTTAAGAAATTTACGAAAGGTACTTACCTTGAAGTATGATTGTAATTCTTTGAGATATACGGAGCATTGTGGGATAACTATGCATACTTCCTGATTATCGGCGGTCAGCGGTCACACTTTAAAGCCATTCAAATTCAAATTAGCAAACACATATAAACCCCAGGTTACAATAATAAAGTCAGTTCTTCCTGGAGTGCTGAACAAAATTGGCGAAGGTCCCAGATTTGGGTAGGGTAAGAACGTTCCACGTTAACACAGACGAGGGTGGGAAGCCATCCCACAATGCTCCGTATATCTCAAAGAATTACAATCATACTTCAAGGTAAGAACCTTTCGTCTAATTTTAAATTATTTTTCAATATACTCCGCATTGTGGGATAACTATGCGACTTCATAGCATCGAAGCCATGTAAAACAACCTGAACGAAAGTGGCAAGGTCATAGAACAATTTTATTCATATTAATCAATAGGAAGGAGCACTAATGATCACAACTACGTAAATAATATTTTCTAAATGTTTTCTCATTAGACCAGTCCGCAGTGCGGAGAATATCAGCGATTGGAACACCTTGAGCATAAGCGTGACTAGTTGAAGCCCTTCTAACACTGTGTTTTTTGAATACCGATGTATCTATACCCGAGGTTTTGAGAATAGATTTTATCCAACGGGCTAGAGTATCGGTTGAAATGTTTTTACGAGGCTTGACGTAGGAGATAAATAATTTAGTGACACGTTTAGCTGGATCAGTACTTCTCAAACACTCAGTACGCAAAATATATTCCGACAAAGTACACTTAGTTCATATCTTGGGATCCTCAGGTAAACACTCAAATGTAACTTGTATAGACTTCCCAGATTTGGAAGTCTTCAAACGTTCTGTAATATTGAAAATTAAACAGTTATCAGATACCCTCTGATTGTTTAAATCTAGAGCACACGAAGTTTGTTCTCGCTGAGCCGATGATAAAGAACAAAGCATAACAGTTTTTAACGTCAAGGTCTTTAAGCTTAGTTCTGCTAAAGGAAACAACGTTCTTAAATAACTCGTTACAGTAATTACATCCCACGTGGTCGAATATCGAGGAGCTGGAGTGCGGAGATTGTAAATCCCTTTCAGTAGTCTGGTTACCAGAGGATGTGATCCAATTGCGATTCCGTTGATAGGAGAAAGTGAAGTTGACAATGCAGAGCGGAATGTGTTGAAAGTGCTGTAACTTTTCCCTTCCTCAAAACATTCAGACAGGAAATTTACCACTTCGTTTACAGATGCTTGAAGTATATCAATTTTTCTTTGTTCCACCAGCGACACCATGTTTTCGTGACCACGATGCGGTAATGAGTTTGGCTGCCGGCTCAGAAAAGCCTCTACTTTCAAGGGATCTCCAGATAACTTCCAGGCGGCTAGAACCAGATGATTTCTCATGGGATGAAGGATTGTGCTCTGAGGTAGATGGAGAAGATTGTCTTTTTTCGGTAACAAAATTGGCGTGTCTATCAGCAGCTGGAGTAGGAGAGGATACCAAGTTTGCGTGGTCCATACGGGTGCTATTAGTAAGAGCAAGGCTCGGTCGACACAAACTTTCTTCAAAACCCGAGATAGCAGACTAAATGGAGGAAATGCATAACATTTCAAGTTAGGCCAACTCATACTAAAAGCATTGATAGCTTCAGCGCCATTTGTTGGGTGCCATGATACAAAACGATCAACTTTGGCATTAAGACTTGAGGCAAATAAGTCGATATCTGGTGTGAGGGTAAGACGAACAATTTTGTCAAATATGGTTCGATCTAATGACCATTCTAAATTTGGGTTAAACCTCCTTGAAAGAGCGTCAGACGTGGTATTCATATTACCCGGAATATATTCAGCATGAACATAAATGTTCCGTATGATACACCATTCCCATAGGTCTCGTAGGAGAGAATTGAGAAGACTAGATTTAATACCTCCCATATTATTTATATATATGAAATGGCTGTAGAGTTATCAAGCTTTAACTGCACGTGGACATGTCGTTTATCGGATACAAACGTCTGTAAGGCATAAAAGGCTGCCAGCAATTCTAGATAATTGATATGATTCGAGGCCTCTAATTTAGACCATAACCCTTGTGCTGGTTGAGGCCACATGTGGCTCCCCATCCCAACAAAATAGCATCTGATTCGATCATGATATCAATCGGTCTCGGTCCAAAAAAAGAGCCGTTAAACTTTGCAAGATTTTGGATCACCCAATTCAAATCAGAAATTGCTTCGGAACTTAAGGACAATTGATGATCAAAATCGTTTGTGATAGATAGTACTTCTGCTTTAAATAACAGACTGCTGGAAAAGCGGAAACTAAGAGCCCAGTGACATGGGCGACCTGCCGAATAGTTAGGTGTTTTCTTGTAACAATATTTGAACAGGCTAGAACAATTTTCTGTATCTTGTCTTCTGACAAAGAGAGTTTTAGTGTTATAGAATCAATGTTGAAACCCAGGAAGTTTATCTGCGTACTGGATTCAAGATGCGACTTTGCATCATTTATTACGAAGCCTAAAGGCCGGCGCACACTAGAGCTATGTGCTTAGCAAAAAGTCATTCGTGGCCATTGGCGTAAGCCAGTTGCTCTCGTGTACGGGCGACTTTTCCGGCGACTTTGGTCATTCGTGTCACGGCAAATGTGTAGCTGGTTTGATAATTTCTGCCTCGCGTGCCGAAATCTTTCCGTGTGCGGCAAACTGAAAGCTGTCTGCTTATGGATTGTCTTAACAGCGCATGCGTAGTATACGAAAGTAAACATCCAAGATGGCGTACAGATTGCAAAAACAAAATTATGTATGAAAGTGAAGACGAAGAGGTGTTGTTATTTTTGTTGCTGTTGCGTCGGACTGGACTAAACACCGTTATTCAAGTGCTATTAATTATATTACCTGTTTGAGAAAGCTTACTAGCTAATTCTGCAATAGCGCATTCCCGTTTCTCTAACAACTGTATTCACCTGTATTCTGGCCAAAGATCAACCAGTTTGTCTTCCAATATTGCCTCAGCCACCAATTCGTTTTGCTTTGTTTGCACCGCTATCTTGGATGTTTACTTTCGTACATTACGCATGCGCTGTTAAGACAATCCATAAGCAGATAGCTTTCAGTTTGCCGCACACGGAAAGATTTCGGCACGCGAGGCATAAATTATCAAACATGCTAGATATTTGCCGTAAGTGGCACGAATGACCAAAGTCGCCGGAAAAGTCGCCCGCACACGAGAGCAACTGGCTTTCGCCAATGGCCACGAATGACTTTTTGCTAAGCACATAGCTCTAGTGTGCGCCGGCCTTAAGTCTTCCAACAATTGGTGCAAAAACATAAGTTGCGCTAAACACTCTTGTTTTGAACTTGCAACTAGAAAAAATCATCTAAATCGATTACGACCTTAAAACCACGTAACCGAAGAAACGATATCACAGGTTTGAGAACTTTTGTGAAAACCCTTGGCGCAAGACTGTAAATGGTAAACAGTTAAATTCGTACGTTGTATCTTTCCAAACAAGTCGTAAATATTTTCTATGATGAGCGACAATAGGGATGCTAAAATAAGCATCTTTGAGATCAAGATATATCATATATAATCGCCTTTTGAAATTAAATTCAATGCTAAATGAACATTCTCCATTTTGAAATGGATCTTTTGAACAAATTGGTTTAATGGTTTTAGATTTATAACGGGGCGCATATCACCAGTTTTCTTTGGGACTAGGAAGAGATTATGAAATAAACTCTCCTGGACAGGAAATAACACGTTTGATTGCTTTTTTCTGTAGAAGCTTATCAATTAAGCAAATATCTGTGGCATTAAACGGGGGTGAATTAGGTAATGTAGATTGAAAAGGTGTGTTATCAAACTCTAAGTGATATCCAGTCACGGTTTCCAACACCCAAGGGTCACTGGTAAGCTCACGCCATTTGTTAACATGCTATATGAGATTACCAGCTACAAATTTACAACTGGAATTATTAGTGTGAGTAGATACCTGTGTTAAGGACGATCTTTCGGGCAGTTGGATGAGGCTGGCGTATGAAAGGCCTCCTTTCCAGATATAAGGACCTTTTGAGTCTCGGCCTGAGCCTAAAAAAGCCCGACGTCCACCACGCTGGTATCGAGTGTTGCTACTGCCACTTTTGTATACAAAATTATTGCTTTGACCCGCCAGCAGTACGAGACATGGTTTTCCTAGCAATTTTGTTAACTTCTCCAATCTCTTTAATGTGCTTGTGCAACTGATCACCAAATAAATTAGTTGACACGGGATTAGATTTACTACACACTGACTGGTATGCAGGTGCAATATCAGGTCTGAGAAATTCTCGTCTCTTCAATGATGTTAAGAACGAGGCATTGCCCAATAGAGTGACTGCATCAGCAACCATAGGAAGAATAGTAGATTGCTCGACCAGCTTGTTTTCAAGCCTAGACTTTAGGAGAAAATCCAAAAGCTGTATCAATGGTTGGGCCGACTTTACCAGAATTTTCTGAATTTCTTGAAGTCCAAGATCTTTAGACTTGGTGTGACGCGGTAGATCGTGCCATAGTTCGAGGTTAACTCGGGGTACACACAGCAAATGGCAATTCTTAGGTGTTTTATACTTATCTTGAAGCTCTTTAAACTTCGTTTCTAGTGGCTTCTTAGATACAGCATCATTTATTCTCTAGGCAATAGCATCGGCAATGTCCGGGCCAACAGATTCGGTTTCCTCAAATATAGAGGGCAAGAACGTACTTGAGTCAAGCGCGTGTGTTGCAACATCTACTTCGTTGGAGGGTCGATTATATTGCGGGTCGATTATATTGTCGAGATTACCAGAGGGATCAAATTGTGGAGACTCAGATGAGTTTGACCCTGCTACCGATTCGGTAGAGCGATTTGCGTTAGACATTTGAATAATTTTGTCACTTAAAATTTTAAGTGAATTTTGAATATCGCCAAGTCCCAACTCATCTTTTAGTTGGTCAATATCGATGTCCAACATCGGTGTTGTATCTACGATTTCGTCCGTAGAGTCGTTGCTGAGAATCTGTACGGTTGGTTCAAACGGAACAGGAGCGCTATTTTGATTTTCTTGAGCCTTGCCGTTTGACTTCGAAGAGGCCGAAATCACAACAAAAATAACGTCCAAAATAAACACAGCCAATCTCTAAAGACAAGAAATGAACGTTAGATAAAGAAAACCGCCAAGGTTTAACGTGAAATTTGTGAAAACAAGGTAACATACAAACCTTACAACACGCTGACACGGCACGAAAGGAAGAACTGACTTTATTATCGTAACCTGGGGCTTATATGTGTTTGCTAATTTGAATTTGAATGGCTTTAAAGTGTGACCGCTGACCGCTGATAATCAGGAAGTTTGCATAGTTATCCCACAATGCGGAGTATATCGAAAAAGAATCTGCTATTGAATAGATGCTTAGGGTTTGATTCTGTTAAAGATTTGGTATGTTTTTCTGCAATAAAATTAATTATATAACTACTTAGAAGGTGGAAAGCAGCCCTAACTAACGGCTGTTTTCATGTGACGTCTGCGTAAACTGGCTATTCTCGCTCTCATGAGCCGGACGTGCATGCTTTACTCTGTTTATATTGCATTTACAGTAAGAAGTCCTGAAAGATAAGAAAGATTCTACCTGAAGACGAAATTTTAAGACGAAAATAAGAAAATGAAAAAGTATTCCCAATGAACCGACCAAAATTCCGTACTCTCAGGGTGGCTGTAATTTTTGAACGATTTTGCACAGTCGTATTCAATAACGTACAGATATTTTATATAGCTAGGAATAACAAAATACCTGCACAATGTCAATGTATTTCTAAATTTTTAAAATAATATTTTTATACTATTTTAATTCTGTCATCGTCGCGTGCATGTTAATTGCATAGTTTTATACTTGTACCTTTGCATACAATTCCAGCCTTGTCTGCCTCCAAATTAATATGGCACATATTTATAAAAAAAATAACGTAAATAACATAAGTGTTTAATAATAAGTGTTTTGCTTGATTTTAATTGTCATAGGCTTTGTTCAACAACATGGTCAATACATGGTCAATACTTTTTGTTTTATAGCGGTGTGTTTTCATCGCGACGTGTTAATCTTGATCACTATTTGCTTGCATGCTGTTGAACGGAGGTAAAAATCGTGAGAGCACGTATAGCGAAGTGAGAGAATTTAAAAACAATGCGCCAACAACTGCACATAATCACAATGCCCCTCGATCCTAAAAAAATGCTTTTTACTGTCTTCTTCAAACTCAAATCTCAATCTCTTTCAACAATGTCCAAACGTGATAAACCTCGTTACACTATTCCGTGTTAGTTTTTGTATTTCGGATCATCCACGTTGATCCGGTATAGGATTTTTCTTGATACCAGATTGATTCAAAATACAAACAAAATGGCGGACAACAAAGTAGGCCGTGGGATGAGCATCGAAAAGATGCAATTCCGTTGCACTCCTCGTGGAACTACGTAATTTTTACATGAATCAATAGATAAAAACTTAATTTATCAGAATCCGTTGCTCCCCAAGTGAAACAGGTGCACAATTGGAAAAAAAATCCCTCCAAAGTTTGTTATTTTGGCGCTTCGAAATATTCGAACCGCCATTGTTTTAATAGCAAATACGCATGCGCATGTCACCCAAAGTCGCACTGCGCACGCTCAAACAGGAAAATGGATTTTCCCTGTGGGTTTTCCCCGATTTTCCTGTATCAAACAGGACGGAGAATATATAAATATACATACAACTCACACAATCAAGGGACAAGTTAAATATTTCGCTTAACTATAGCCTTCACATCACTAACAAAGCCTGGAGGAATAGCAGAATCCTTGGATGAATTCATTTGTGCAAGGGCAGTCTCATGGCACAATACAAATTAGTGTGACATGCAATGTCCAAAGCCACTCAATAGAAAAATTACTGAGGCTGAACCTGTCAGTTGTCTAAGTGTTATGGCGAGTGCTATGCTCTTGGGCGTAGGATTCCTTCCCCCAGATGCTAAATTCACAAGGTCTTGTACAATTGATGTTAGTTTGGCACTGTTCTTGCCCTCAATTGGCACGTACTCACTTAAAGTTGGCTCCGAAGAGAATCCACATATCCAAGCCAATACATTAAAAAGTTACATGGAACCACTTTTTGCACATTATCTATTGTCAAATCAGATGCCAATGGTGGCTAAGGAAGATTTAGTTTTGGTATTTCTTGGACCTTTTGGCAAAGAATCAATGAATCATTGTATTGAATTTGTAACTCATTGACTTTAGAATTTCCCTAAGTTTCTGTGTTGGAATTCAGATCATCATCATCAATGGTATAGCTTTCTTTATCAAAGTCTTCATCGTTGTTTTCTGACTTGTTTGACATATGTTCCTCAACCTTACAGAAGACATCATAAGACTTCTCGTACACTGATGTAGATCTTTCAGTCTCCAATTGCTTTTTTGCCTCTCTGGTCAGAAATTTTGTATAATTGTAGTACCAATCTTTGTGATAGATGACTTCCAGTGCTGCACAGTCTTTCCCCCTGATTTGCATGAGTATTCATCATTCCTTTTCTCGGCAGCTGTACGTAGAAGACCAGCATCAATTGTTTCTGCCAACATGAGTGGGGTTCTTCTTCTCTTCTTAGTTACCTGGTGTGAACAAGATATTTTAAAACCAAACCCGAGAATGTTGTGCTACTAGTGCACATTGCACTAGTATAACTATATCTATCAAAATGACCATACCTTGTCTAGTGAGAACCAAGAGGCGTCTCTTCCACAAACAATACATATCTCTGGAAGTACGTGCTCGTTTCATTTAGGCAGGGCCTTATTAACGTCTGCGACTGATTGGCGTGTAATTTTTCGCCTTGGTTCCATTGGTTCCACTTCTACATGTAGTTCTTCGGTAGAAGTTACAGTTTTAGAGCTTTCTTCTTTTCGCTGTTGTCTACGGATCGTCTCTTCATCACAAAATCTCTTCCAGTATTTCATATGATGGTACCATTCTAAGTTAATGCTGTCAGGGTTCTTTTCTATGTATGAATTGACAGATCCGTCATCGATGTTCGCGTACGATTTCTTAGCTATTTCAGCTTGTTGACATTTAAGTTTGGCCCATTTAAACCTACACTCAAGAAATTTCTTAACACGCGTAACTTTGCAAAGTTGCTCCGTAACACCATCAAAATGAATAAAACATGAGGATATTCGAGTTTTAAAAATATCTTCAGCCATTATTGTTTTGCATAACTAACCGTGTTTCCACTTCGAAGCATGTGCGTACTTATGCGCGTGCGCAGTGCGAGTTTGCCTGACAAGCGCATGCGTATTTGCTACTAAAACAATGGCGGTTCGAATATTTCGAAACGCGAAATTAGCAAACTTTGGAGGGATTGTTTTCCCAATTGTGCACGTGCTTCGCTTGGGGAACAACGGATTCTGATAAAGTAAATTTTTATCTATTGATTCATGTGAAAATTATGTAGTTCCACGAGGGGTGCAACGGAATCCGTTTTCTAAGCATCTTTTGGATGCTCATCCCACAGCCTAAAGTGTATGCAAGCGAAAACGAAAAATAAATATTCTCGTGGACAGACAGTGAAATAGAACTTTTGGCATCGGTAACATTTGTTGATATCTAGACCCCGCCGCTTACCAATTTGGAAGGTTCGGTGCAAGCTCTAGTCCGAGGTGGCACGGGAACGAGCCAAGGTCGCAGGTGGTCTGGGAAATAGCACTGGCACTTGGAATAATCCATACCAATGGTATATCTTCGACTGCCAACCACACCCAAATAGCTTCTACCCATCACATCCATCACACCAATGTAATTTGTGGTAAGTGAGTCCGTGTACCTTTCTGAAAGCAGAATCCGAACTCGAAGTAACTGTATTTACATTCAACCCTTTTCATACAGTGGCAATTTCTTTATTACTAGTGAACACTTCTGTGTCTTTCCGAAACAAAAGGCACACTCGCCCGAAAATTGACTTATATCTACGCTTTTTATATTTGAGTGTAGATTTTACGAATCACTGAAATGAATGTGCTTGAAAACGCTCGTGTTTATGCGCAAATTTTTAAAAAACGAGGTCTCTATTTCAATCTCAGACCATTTCCGTTGAAACTGGCAAAACCAAAAACAAACGCAATGAAACGAAATTTTAGCTACATGGTGCTAAAACTTGGAATAATCTGCCAACTGACCTTGCGATTTCTGTCAATGTTTTCAAAACACAGGATTTCATAGACATAGTGATACGGGAAAATAATTCATTCCTAAATATATTCTCAAGTTGTCAGTAACTTCTATAACATTTTGTAAACTAAAATTTCTTTCTGTTACTTAATTTTTAATCATGTCTTATTAATAATTAACATTTAATAATGACTTATTATATATGTTCTGTGTACGTATTTATTATAGTAAGTTTAGTTGTTGTAGTGTGAATATTTTTAATATTTCTAAATTTTACACGGCCTTATGAAAAGCAGCCACTTTTCTTTGTTATATATACTTCAAACTATAGAACGGATTTTTAAATCATTGTTGATAAGCTACCGTGTATAAAGATTTTTAAGTGAAAATGCTTTTTACGGCATGCTGCTATCGCTGTTTACTATGTTTTGCTTCAATTGCAAGAGTCCAAATCCCAAAGTAGATATCAAGAGGAATGGTTCAATGGCTGTTGTAACTCAATGTTGTTCAGCCTGTGGACCTATGAAAAGTTTTCAGTGGAACAGTCAGCCATATGTATTAGGAAGGCATGCAGCTGGAAACCTTATGACAAGCTTTGCTATCTTAATGTCAGGTGTTAGTATAAGCAAGGTGTTTCTACTTTTCAACTTTCAAGCATTTGGGCCTTTGTTCAATTACCAGTAGAGCATATTACATACGCCAAAACAAATTCCTCATCCCCTCTGTGATAGTGCATTGGGAAAAGTACCAAAAAACCCTTATTGAGGAACTGAAGAAAATAAAGGATGCTACTTGGTCTGGTGATGGTCGTTTTGATTCAATGGACCATAGTGCCAAGTATGGTGCTTACTCTATGTTCTGCAATAGTATTTCCAAAATTGTCCATTTTGAAATCAGACAGGTAAACTATAGACTATTTAAATTAAATGTCAAATTAATTCAATACATACTGTATAATATAATTAGTTCAATTTACTTGGTTTGGAGTTTCATAAGCAATGTTGACTACAGCAGGTTGTTGCACACCCTCCATTTCTTTTTGTTTAGTCAAATCAGTCAGTTAGCAGCAATGCCATGGAATTGGATGAAGCTCAACGAATTCAAAATTTCTGAAGGATAATCGACTGCAAATTCCAATATTTATCAGTGATCGGCATAAAAGGATCGCAAAGTGGATCAGAACTACTGAAAAGGAAACCCAACACTTCAATATTTGTGGAATGTTTCCAAAGGAATTTCCAAAAAGATCTTGAAAGCTAGCAAAGAAAAAGGATGCGAGTTGTTAGCATTGTGGATGAAAGGTATCCGTACCCATTTTTAGTGCAAAGTTTGAGAAACTTTGCAGTATTGTGATGAGTGGCGAAAATTCAAACGAGTCAGTCGGTCAGTCGGTCGGTCGGTCGGTCGGTCGGTCGGGTCGGTCGGTCGGTCAGTCAGTCAGTCATAGTGTAAATTTTACGGGGGGTAGGTTGATTTATGCGTTCAGTAATTTAAAGTTTTTAAATCAGTTTAACTTGCTTTATTTATTAATGCTCTACATCCCTTTTGCTAAGTCCACCAAAATATTAAGGAATTTTGACCGTTACTGTAAATTTTGAGGCATTGCTTTTCCGCGGTTTGGGTTTTGTTTCAAACGGATTTGCGCAGAATTGCCCCCTGGAACACCCGATTTTTTCTTCACCCGTTTCGTCTCTTTCCATACGGCTATTAGCCGGTGTCAAGCGAAATTTATGACCATTGCGAAATACATGACCACGCGTGACTAGTCACG